TATACGCGGAGCAGGTATGTGAAGTGTGGAGCAGTTGGTAGCGGTGTGGGCAAGGATGATTTGTAGTCTCGGAAGTCCTGGGTTCGATACCCTGCTAGGGCCGACATTAAATTTTTTTTATTTATTTTATATTATGTTTTTTAATATACTTTTCGACAATTTAGCGTGAATATAGTGTTCTGTATATAGAAATAACTATTTTTCCTTCATGAAATATCGAATAATAGCTAATAAACAGATAAATTTTGATTATTTTTTATTTAGTTATTTATTTTATTTAATGTTATTTTTTTTAATTTCTTTCTCAATATTTTTAAGAGAATAAAGTGTTTTATATATGAAAAGAATTATTTTTCTTTGTTAAAGAGCGAATAATGGCTGAAAAAAAGACAAAAGTCGTATCAGGAGGCACGCACACATCACACCCCGTTACTCCCTATAATATTAACCTATAAATTTCAAACTCGGCCTGAAATTAGAGTCTAATGTAACAAACAATTGTACTGAAGGAATTTTTTATAGACTAATTAGTGGGCCCACAATGTTCCAAAATATGTTTTGTTGACTAACCGGGAAGAGGTACTTTAAGCTATATATACGCGGAGCAGGTATGTGATGCGTGGTGCAGTTGTTAGCGTTGTGGGGAAGGATGCTATGCAGTCCCGGATGTCCTGGGTTCGATACCCTGCAAGGATCGGCTTTAATTTTTTTTAATTTTATTTTATATTATGTTTTTTAATATACTTTTCGACTATCTAGCGTGAATGAAGTGTTCTGTATAACGAAATAACTATTTTTCCTTTATGAAATAGCGAATAATAGCTAATAAACAGATAAATTTTGATTATTTTTTATTTATTTATTTATTTTATTTAATGTTATTTTTTTAACTTCTTTCTCAATATTTTTAAGTGAATAAAGTGTTTCATATATGAAAAGAATTATTTTTCTTTGTTAAAGAGCGAATAATGGCTTAAAAAAAGACAAAAGTCGTATCAGGAGGCACGCACACATCACACCCCGTTACTCCCTATAATATTAACCTATAAATTTCAAACTCGGCCTGAAATTAGAGTCTTATGTAACAAACAATTGAACCGAAGGAATTTTTTATAGACTAATTAGTGGACCCACAATGCTCCAAAATAAGTTTTGTTGATTAACCGGGAGGAGGTGCTTTAAGCTAAATATACGCGGAGCAGGCATGTGAAGTGTGGTGCCGTTGTTAGCGCTGTGGGAAAGGATGATTTGTAGTCCCGGAAGTCCTGGGTTCGATACCCTGCAAAGGTCGACTTTAAATTTTTTTATTTATTTTATATTATGTTTTTTAATATACTTTTAGACAATTTAACGTGAATCAAGTGTTCTGTATATAGAAATAACTATTTTTCCTTTCTGAAATAGCGAATAATAGCTAATAAGCAGATAAATTTTGATTATTTTTTACTAAAGAAAACGAATAGTTTGGGGAGGAATTTAGACGAGAGAATTTTTTTTTTCTTTCAAAGTACGTAAATAAAAGAAGCATTGTCATATTATGAATAAGCAAAGTAGCACTATTTCGAACAAGCTAACAGGGAACTGGGAAGTTAGCAATTTTTTTGTGGGGAGATGGGGGCCACTGGGTGCCATCTCGTCTGCAGAGGATCAAAATTGTGATGGTGTGTCTTCGGATCATCCTCAGGGATGTTTCCCTGACCGTCACCAATAGCCCATGCAGCTCTACTGCGACGTAAATCCGACTACACCCAAAATATCTTAAAACGTCATAGAAAACAAGTAAGCTAAGAGCGTGAAAATATTTTCGCACAATCTTTCGAAATTAATTTAAAGCCAACATTTTTTTTTTTATTTGTAGCATTTGAATTTGCTTTTAACATTGGTTGATAAAATTACCAAAAGAGTATTTTTAAATCAAAAATTTGAGTAAAATTAAAAAAGGTTTTTGAAACTTAACTAAATTGTAATAGCTCTGATGTTGACCCGTGTTAAAGTTCTTGTGCTTGTCCTGCTGGATGTTTCTTGTGACTGCATTGTTGATCATGAATTTTTAATGCGCTAATGAATTTAATTTATGTGAATGTTCGTGAAATTATGTAAACATGTCAATTAAGCCCAGCAAAATTAGTTTTTAAGTAAAAGTGCTATTTTATATTTTATCATTTCGGTTGTTTCCAGTAGCAGTTTAAATTATGCAGGGATATATTCGTAATCTGACCTGTGAAGCCAACTAAATTTGCCAAGACCCAGGTTGTCCAGGAAATACATCCAGAAATAAAAGTCCCGTAGTATATGGATATCATCAGATCGAAATAGTATTTACTTTTAGGACACCCAAAATATAAAAGTTTTTAATTTTATCACTAAAAAAATTTTTTGTTGTTGATGTAATTAGTTTAAAATAATTCCCTTAATTCAATTGGTATATTCTATAAGTTGATTTTAAAGTGAGCGTAATTATAAAATTTTGAAGCGCATGATAAAATATCTATATGGTTCGAGAGTTGGTGCGAAATTTAAATTTTGTAAAATCCTTGTTTTCTTTTCATGTTGCTTATTTATACACTATTATACTATGCTTATTTATACACTTAATTTAAAATATATTTTTCCTTCCTATCTAGATGATGAAAATCAGATTTTTTTTCTTNTTTTCATGTTGCTAATTTATACACTTAATTTAAAATATATTTTTCCTTCCTATCTAGATGATGAAAATCAGATTTTTTTTCTTTTCATGTTTATAATTAGGCTTATTCATGCATTCAATTGAAAATATTTTTTCTTTCTTATCTAGAAGATGAAAATGTTGGACATCCATTTTGGAAGATTGTAAGCATGAAAAAAATTGATGGTGCTATCCTTGGTTGTCAAAAACAAGAAGCTGATATAATGGTTAGTCAGTAATTAACAATAAATTTAATTTTTACATTCATTCTTACCCATTGCAAGAGTAAATACCCTACCCACTGGGTATTTACCTCATTTATAGTTGCAATCTCAATAAATCGAACCTCATCTTAACTATAAGATTTTTTGTTTTCTTTCAAAGTTTTTACTAC